AATACCTGAAAATTAAGCAATGCACTCTTAACAGGTCAGAGAAGAAATCACAAGGGAAATTGGAAAACCCCTTGAGACAAATGAAAATCAAAACAATGTTCTTGTGTTAGGCCATTCTTTGCTATAAGAGAATACTCAAGACTGGGTAATTTATAAAGAAAGTAAGTTTTCTTGGTTCACATTTCTGCAGGCTCTACAAGCACAGTGCTGGCATCTTCTCAGCTTCTGAGCAGACCTCAGGGAGCTTTTGCTCATGGCAGAAGGTAAAATGAGAAGAGCAAAGGAAGGATAGAGAAGGAGGAGGTGCCACACATTTTTAAACAGTCAGTTCACATGAGAACTCACTATTCCAAAGACAGCACCAAGGAGATGCTGCTAAACCATTCATGAGAAATCTGCCCCCATGATCCAATCACCTTCCATTTTACCTTCCGCCATGAGCAAAAGCTCCCTGAGTCCTCCCTAGAAGCCGAGCAGATGCCAGCACCATGCATGTACAGCCTACAGAACCATAAGCCAATTAAACCTCTTTTCTTTATAAATTACTGAGTCTCTCTCTCTCTCTCTGATCTCTTTCTCTCTCTCTCTCTTATATATCTCTCTCTCTCTCTCTGACTGGGTCTCACTCTGTCACCCCACCTCCAGTGCAGTGGTGCAGTTTTAGCTCACTGCAGCCTCTGTTTCCCTAGTCAAGTGATTCTCCAGCCTCAAATTCCTGAGTAACTGTTACTACAGGCATGAGCTACCACGCCTAGTTAATTTTTGTACTTTTTGTGGAAATGGGGTTTTACCATATTGCTCAGGTTGGCTGGTATTTCTTTATAGTGATGCAAGAATAGCCTAATACAACGTCCCACCTCCAACACTAGGGATTACATCTCAACATGAGATTTGGAGGGGACATCCAAGCCATATCAGTGCCCAAACTTGTGAAATGCAGTGAACACAAACAGAAGTTTATGGCTATGTGTTTACATTAAAAAAGAAGAAAGATCAAAAATTAACAACCTAACTTTGCACCTTAAGAAATTAAAAAAAGAAACAACTAAACCCAAAGTTAACAGAAGAAAGAAAATAATACAGTTTAGAGCAGAGATTAATGAAATAAAGAAAACAAAAGCAATAGAAAAAAATCAGCAAAACTTAAGAGGTGGTTTTTTCCAAAATATCTAAAAAACTGACCAATTATTAGGTATAGTAATTTTAAAAAAAAGAGAGAAGACTCACATAACGAAAATTAGAAGTGAAAGAGGGGATATTACAGCCAATACCACATACAGTAAAGAGGATTGTAAGAAAATACTACAAACACTTGTATGCCAACAAACTGGAAAAATTATATAAATGGACAAAATCTTTTAAACACACAACCAACCAAGATTGGATAATGAAGAATTAAATAATCTGGACAAACTTAAAATTATTAAAGAGATTGAATCAGTAACCAATATCCCACACAAAGAAAAACCCAAGACCTCATGTCTTCTTTAGAATATTCTAGCTAATATTTAAAGAAGAATTAACACCCATTCTCCTCAAACTCTTCCAAAAAAAATTAAAAGAAGGGAAAATCCCAAATTCACTATATAAGGCCAGCATTACCCTAATAACAAAGCCAGATGAAGTCAAAGAAAACTACAGACCAACATTCTTGATAAATATTGGTGTAAAAGTCCTTAACAAAATACTAGACAACCAAATTCTTAGGCACAGTAAAAAGATCATATACCATGATTGAGTAAAATGTATTGCTGTAAAGGATGGTTTGATGTAAGAAAATCATTCTAATCACATTAACAGAATGAAAGATGAGAACATAATCATCTCAACTGATACACACAAAAAAGCATTTGACAAAATTTGATGTTGTTTCATGTGAAAAACGCTCAAACTAGGATATAAGGAAACCATTAATAACTCAACACAATAAAGGCAATACATGAAAAGACAATAGCTGACATCAATTTCAGTGGTGAAAAACTGAAAGCCCTTCCTCTAAAATCAAGAACAAGACAAAGATGCCTGCTTTCACCCTTCTATTTAACATAGTACTGGAATGTCCTAGTCAAAGCAATTATGAAAGTGAAATAAAAGGCACCAAAATCAGAAAGGAAGTAAAATTGTCTCTGCTTTTAGTTGACTTAATCTCCTATGCAGAAAGCCCTAAAGATCCCATTTTAAAACTTCAGAATAATTGAATTCAGCAAAGCTGCAAGATACAAGTCAACATGCAAAAATCCATTGCATTTCTATACACTAACAATGAGCAATCTGCAAAGGGTAGTAAGAAAACAATTTCATTTACAATAGCATCAAAAAGAATAAAATAGTTTGAAATAAGCTTAACCAAGGAGGTAAAAGACTAACATACTTAAAAGTAGAAACCCTGCTGATAGGTATTAAAGACACAAATAAATTGTAAGACCTCCCATGTCCATGGATTGGAAGACTTCATGTTGTTAAAATGTCAATATTGCCCAAGGTAATCTACCAATTTGGTGCAATCCCTATCAAAATCCCAATGGCATCTTTGGAAATATTGAAAAATCCATTTACAAGTTCATATGAAATCTCAAGGTATGCTGAATAGCCAGAACAATATTGAAAAAGGAAAAAGTTATAGGCCTGACACTTTCTGATTTCAAAACATATTACAAGGCTACAGTAAACATTTAGTACTAGCATAAATGCAGACATAAAGACCAATAGGAATGAACAGAATTGAGACCCCAGATATAAACCTTTAACTGTATGGTAAAACAATTTTTGACAAATGTCAAGACTTCTCAATGGAAAAAGAACTATCTCTGCAACAAATGGATATCCCCATGCAAAAGAACGAGTTGGACCTTATGTTACACCATAAACAAAAATTAACTCAAAATGAATTAAAGACCTAAACATAAGAAACAAACATATAAAACTTCTAGAAGAAAACATAAAATCTTCATGAAATTGGATATGATGATTTAATGTGTATGACACCAAAAGGACAGGCAACAAAAGCAAAATAGGCAAATGGGACTACAAATGGGTCTTAATCCAACTTAAAAACTTTTCTGCATTAAAGGACACATTAAAGTACCAATAAAGTGAAAAGACAGGCTATGGAATTGGAGAAAATATTTGCAAATCATATAGCTCATAACATCTAGACTACATACAGAGCTCCTACAACTTGAGAACAAAATCAACCTAATTAAAAATGGGCAAGGGGGCTGGGTGCTATGGCTCAGGCCTGTAATCCCAGCACTTTGGGAAGCAGTATTACGGGCAAGAGCCACCACAGGAAATGGGAAGATTTCTTGAGCCCAGGAGTTCAAGACCAGCCTGGGCAACCTAGTGAAAGCCCCTCTATTATACAATAATGTTTTTCTAAATGAGTGATTCATTGTGGCACGCACCTGTAGTCCCAGCTACTCAGAGGGTTGAGGTGGGAGGATCACCTGAGCCCAACAGGTCAAAGCTGTAGTGAGCCATGATTGTGCTACTGTACTCCAGCCTGGGCAACAGAATGAGACTCTGTCTCAAAGAAAAAAAGGACAAGGGACTTGAATCCACATTTCTTCAATGAAGGTATACAAATGACCAACAAGCATATGAAATGATAAGCTCAGTATCACTTATCATTAGAGAAATGCAAATCAAAACTGTGAGGTAGCACTTCACATCCATTAGGATAACTAGTTTAAAAAAAAAACAGAAAATAACAAGCTTTGTCAAGGATTTGGAGAAATTAGAATCTTTGAGCATTGTTGGTAGGATTGTAAAACGGTGAACCACAATGAATTAGTATAATGTTTCCTCAAAAATTTAAAAATAGATCCACTGTATGATATGACAATCTTCCTTCTGAGTATATGTTCAAAAGCACTGATAGCAGGGTCTCAGATATATTAGCACATCCATGCTCATAGCAGCATTATTCACAATGGCTAGGAGGTGGAAGCAACCCAAATGTCAATAGACAGAGAATGGAAAAACAAAGCATGGTATATACATAAAATGGCTTACTATTCAGTCTTAAAAAGGAAGAAATCTTGTCATATACTACAACACAGATAAACCTTGAGGACATTATGCTAAGTGAAATAAGCCAGTAACAAAAACACAAATACTGTATGATAGCACTTATACAAGATGTAAAGTTACCAAATTCATATAAACAGAAAATAAAATGTTGGTTATCTGGCATGGGAGGGGCAAAAGCAGAATTGTACAATGGGTGCAGTTTTAGTTTTGCAAGATAAAAAAGTTCTGGAGATTTGCCTCACAACAATATGAATATACTTAACACTATTGAATGGTATGCTTTAAAATGTTTAAGATGGTAAAAATTACGGTTTTTCCATAAGTTAAAAATCTTTAAATACAAACACAGTAGTCCTAAGAGGTTTTTGTTTGTTTCTTAATAAGGTTTATATTTCTTAAAAAATATATATTTTTCATAGCTTCATTATGTTTCAGAATATGTTTTTAAACAATGCCCTGTCAAACTTGCCAGTCTCTCTATATACACCTCTGTATAGCTCTAAGATATGGGAGTATATATATCTTCCTATAAAATTTAAAATGCTAATTGAAAGCAAATATTGGGAAAAATATTTTTCTTTTCTTTTCAAATTGTTTGCTATATGTGAAAGAGTAAAATCACTTTTTGCAACAGTCTAAGATAAATATTCCAGTAATTGGCTAAAAACAAAAAAAACTTTTAATTAATAATATGCTGGTTAAAAACACCATATATAAGCAAGGTATACATGAATTTTTTTAAATCTGAGCTTGAAAACATTCATGATTCTATTATCAAACTCCCCTGGCTGAAGTAAGTATAAGAATGTCGGAAGTCATAGGAGACTGGGACAACGAGATTTTCAAATTGACAGAATCAAGAGAAAAGTTCCACTGGGATATGTGAAAGTTGTTCTGTAATCTTACTTATGAGGGAGTTACAGAAATTGTACTTAGTATTTAACTTATATATTAATCGTTTTTAACAGAACTGCTGGGGCCCTTGGACAGAGGGGATATACTAAATGAAGCTTTTGCTGGCCTGTCTTTAGCACCTCAAGTGGAAGACTCATTTCCAGATAACCTCTCTCCCTCTGGTTCCTCCCACCAACATACTGTACGACAAAGAAAACTGAATGGCTCTTCTAACAAGTAAGAAATGTTGAATTCAGGAAATTGCTCCGTAAAGTATTTAGTATTACCTGTTCAATTTTGAACTAATAGCAAAGCAAGAGTATTTCAAAATGTCAAGGGGAAAGGTGTGCATTTTCTCACAGCTCAGACTTTGCAGTAGTTTGGTCATTCAGAGCAAGCATAATGAATGGCAAAAGTGACTATAAAAATAATATTGCTGCAATAAATGCTATTCTAGGCCAAAATGAAATTACTATGACATACTGAATTCTGTTTGTATTCAGTTATTTAATTCTAGGATTGTTAGATTACCTTTAATAAACATTAATTTTTTAGAATATGTAGTTTGAATTATAATTTATATAATCATATTTCTTTAATGTAAGTTGACCATTGGTTTTTGAAATCTGATAGATGATAGTTCAAATATCTGTCCAGTTTGCTACATAGGGTTACTGAGAAGATAAAGAAGAAATATGAAATTTAAAAACTAGACAAAAGTAGGCCGGGCACAGTGGCTCACACCTGTAATCCCAGCACTTTGGGAGGCCGAGGTGGGTGGATCACGAGGTCAAGAGATCAAGACTATCCTGGTCAACATGGTGAAAACCCGTCTCTACTAAAAATACAAAACTTAGCTGGGCGTGGTGGCACGTGCCTGTAATCCCAGCTACTCAGGAGGCTGAGGCAGGAGAATTGCCTGAACCCAGGAGGCGGAGGTTGCAGTGAGCCGAGATCGCGCCATTGCCCTCCAGCCTGGGTAAGAAGAGCGAAACTCTGTCTCAAAAAAAAAAAAAAAAAACTAGACAAAAGTAATGTTATTTACAGTGATAATTATAATATTAATTATGATAATGATTCTCTCAAGCAAGGGTCAGAAAGCTTTTTGTGTAAAGGGCCAGACAGCAAAAATTTTAGGCTTTGCAGGCCACACAAACACTTTTGCAACTACTCAGTCCTGCTGTTACAGTAAGACAAAGTGGCCACAGACAATATATAAATGAATGAGAGTCTCTGTGTTAGAAGAAAACTTTATTTATAATTAAAGTAGGCAGTGGGTCAGATTTGGTCCCTGGTTTATGGATAACCTTCCTGCTTTTGAGGATCCTATTTTCAGTCATTGTAAAGAGGCCACATTAAAAAAATCATATATATGAATTATACATACCCACCTATAATACCTTCAAGAAAAATATCTCAAACTATACAGGTTAACAGCAAATAAAGAGGGGGAGGATTTCCAAGTAAGAAAGTGTTTATTTGGATATCAGTAAATCCTCTCCCCAAGAAACAAATATAAAACTAGACAAAGCCACCATTGCTGGGCTCTGGAAATCAAAGGCAAACAAATTGAGAAGCATTTATTCATGCAAAATTGCTGAACTTGTAGTAATAAAGTAGAAGTCTCATTTTTTTGCCTCAAGCTGCTTCCATCTTCCTGCCCATCCTCAAACTAGGTAGGACTGGCTTTGAAAACCAACAGTTGACTTGATTTGGAGCTGAGGGTGGAAAAACTCTGCCTAACAGCATTGTCAAATAAAAGTAGCAAACAGTTGTCAGTAAAAGTGACAAACTTGATAGGAAATGATTCTGCTCGCTTGATTAGGGCAAGTGACAGAATGGCAAACCAGCCAAAAATTCAACAGAGAGATCCTGGAGATGAGAAAAACAAAAAGGGGCTACTTAAGCTTTCTACAATCATTTTTCCTTTTCCTTTTTGAGACAGAGTTTCACTCTGGTTGCCCAGGCTGGAGTGCAGTGGCTCGACCTCAGCTCACTACAACCTCCACCTCCCGGGTTCACACAATTCTGCTGGGATTACAGGTGCCCGCCACCATGCCTGGCTACATTTTTTTTTGTATTTTTAGTAGAGATGGGGTTTCACCATGTTGGCCAGGCTGGTCTTGACTCCTGACTTCAGGTTATCCACCCACCTTGGCCTCCCAAAGTGCTGAGATTACAGGTGTGAGCCACCTCGCCCGGCCCACAAATTCTTGATGGGATTTTAGGACCTCTCATTTTTTGTCTTTCTCTTGTCTGGTATTTTCCTCTTTATGCTTGTTCCTTACTTCACACCCAAATGCCAAAAGTGCCCCTCTCTTTCTGCCTTCCCCCTCAGAAGCTATTCTTTTTGAAAACTGCCTCTTCAAATTGCATGGTACTTTATAGCCTCTTCCTTATAGTCCATGCTCCAGTGTACCAGAGTATCAGGAGCTAGAGAGATCCTGCACTGGCATTTGGTGTTTTTTTTTTTTCCATTTTATTTACAATTATTTTGCAGAATGGACATTTGCTGTCTTCAAGTCATGCTAAGAACATGATTGTCATGTAGTTTCATTTCTCCTTTTATAATGTTCTGTATTGTTTATAAAAGAAGTAGTGGGAAATAGAACATAGGTGACTGCTATTATCTTCAGCTACCTAGTAGTCTTTCCTCTTTATTTTTTTATTTTTGGGGCAGGATCTCACTCTGTCACCCAATCTGGAGTGCAGTGGTACAGTCATGGCTTACTGCAGCCTGGACCTTCCAGGCTCCAGTGATTTTCCCACCTCAGCCTCCCAAGCAACTGCAATTACAGGCACATGCTGCCATGCCAGGCTACCTTTTTTTTTTTTTTTTTTGAGACAGAGTTTCACTCTGTCCCCAGGCTGGAGTGCAGTGGTGCAATCTTGGCTCACTGCAGTCTCCAACTATCTGGTTCAAGCAATTTTCCTGCCTCAGCCTCCCGAGTAGCGGGGATTACAGGCATGCGCCACCACACCCAGCTAAATTTTTTTTATTTTTAGTATAGACAGCGTTTCACCATGTTGGCTAGGATGGGCTCCTGACCTTGTGATCCGCCTGCCTCTGCCTCCCAAAGTGCTGGGATTACAGGCATGAGCCACCAGTGCCCAGCCTAATTTCTGTATGGGACAACCACATGCAGCTAATTTTTTGTATTTGCTTCTAGAGATGGGGTTTTCCTATGTTGCCCAGGCTGGTCTTCAGTTTTGTTTTGTTTTTTTAATTGCATTTTAGGTTTTGGGGTACATGTGAAGAACATACAAGATAGTTGCATAGGTACACACGTGGCAGTGTGATTCGCTGCCTTCCTCCCCTTCACCTATATCTGGCATTTCTCCCCATGCTATCTCTCCCCAACTCCCCACCCCCCCTGCTGTCCCTCCCCTATTCCCCCCGACAGACCCCAGTGTGTGGTGCTCCCCTCCCTGTGTCCATGTGTTCTCATTTTCAACACCCACCTATGAGTGAGAACATGCAGTAGTTCATTGTCTGTTCTTGTGTCAGTTTGCTGAGAATGATGTTCTCCAGGTTCATCCATCTCCCTACAAAGGACACGAACTCATCCTTTTTGATTGCTGCATAATATTCCATGGTGTATATATGCCACATTTTCCCTGTCCAGTCTATCATCAATGGGCTTTTGGGTTGATTCCAGGTCTTTGCTATTGTAAACAGTGCTGCAATGAACATTCGTGTGCATGTGTCCTTATAGTAGAACGATTTATAGTCCTTTGGATATATACCCAGTAATGGGATTGCTGGGTTAAATCGAATTTCTATTTCTAGATCCTTGAGGAATCACCACACTGTCTTCCACAATGGTTGAACTAATTTACACTCCCACGAGCAGTGTAAAAGTGTTCGTATTTCTCCACATCCTCTCCAGCATCTGTTGTCTCCATATTTTTTAATGATCACCATTCTAACTGGTGTGAGATGATATGTCAATGTAGTTTTGATTTGCATTTCTCTAATGACCAGTGATGATGAGCATTTTTTCATATGTTTGTTGGCCTCATGTATGTCTTCTTTTGTAAAGTGTCTGTTCATATCCTTTGCCCACTTTTGAATGGGCTTGTTTGTTTTGTTCTTATAAATCTGTTTGAGTTCTTTGTAAATTCTGGATATCAGCCCTTTGTCAGATGGTAAACTGCAAAAATTTTTTCCCATTCTGTTGGTTGCCAATTCACTCTAATGACTGTTTCTTTTGCCATGCAGAACCTGTGGAGTTTGATTAGGTCCCATTTGTCTATTTTGGCTTATGTTGCCAATGCTTTTGGTGTTCTGGTCATGAAGCCCTTGCCTACTCCTGTGTCCTGAATGGTTTTGCCTAGAATTTCTTCTAGGGTTTTTATGGTGTTAGGTCTTATGTTTAAGTCTTTAATGCATCTGGAGTTAATTTTAGTGTAAGGTGTCAGGAAGGGGTCCAGTTTCTGCTTTCTGCACATAGCTAGCCAGTTATCACAACACCATTTATCAAACAGGGGATCCTTTCCCCATTGCTTGTTTTTGTCAGGTTTGTCAAAGATTGTATGGTTGTAGGTATGTTGTGTTGCCTCCGATGCCTCTGTTGTGTTCCATTGGTCTATATCCCTGTTTTGGTACCAGTACCATGCTGTTTTGATTACTGTATCCTTGTAGTATGGTTTGAAGTCCAGTAGTGTGATGCCTCCCAGTGTGATCTTTTTGCTTAGAATTGACTTGGTTATGCAGGCTCTCTTTTGGTTCCATATGAAGTTTAAGGTGGTTTTTTCCAGTTCCATGAAGAAGGTCATTGGTAGCTTGATGGGGATAGCATTGAATCTGTAAATTACTTTGGGCAGAATGGCCATTTTCACGATATTGATTCTTCCTAACCATGAACATGGAATGCTTCTCCATCTGTTTGTGTCCTCTCTTATTTTGTTGAGCAGTGGTTTGTAGTTCTCCTGGAAGAGGTCCTTTATGTTCCTTGTTAGTTGTATTCCTAGGTATTTTATTCTCTTTGTAGCAATTGTGAATGGCAGTTTGTTCTTGATTTGGCTCTCTTTAAGTCTGTTATTGGTGTATAGGAATGCTTGTGATTTTTGCACATCGATTTTATATCCTGAGACTTTGCTGAAGTTGCTTATCAGTTTCAGGAGATTTTGGGCTGAGACGATGGGGTCTTCTAGATATACTATCATGTCATCTCCAAATAGAGACAATTTGGCTTCCTCCTTTCCTATTTGAATATCCTTTATTTTTTTTCTTG